CGTTGAGATATACCGGGCCCTTCCCAGCCGGTCCAACAGCTCATCCACCCGAGGCATGGGGTATCCGTCGAACTCGGAGACCTCATTGAGGCGGCGGAAGTCATTGCAGAAACGGAGGGTGCCGTCCGGTTTCGGGACCATCACGATTGGGCTGGCCCATGGGCTGCGTGGTGGTTCTATCGCCCCCAACTTCAGCATCTGTTGAATTTCCTCCTCAATAGCTCGCCGACGAGCCTCAGGGACGCGGTAGGGCCGTTGCCTGACGACGACCCCCGGCGGCATCTGGATGTCGTGCCGCAGGACTCCAGTCTGCCCGGGACGAGAAGAGAACACACTTCTTGAATCAGGCATGTATTTTTTACTGTACAATTAAAAGCAGCCTTGCTGAGAAGAGAATTCTTTTAAAACATTAGAAAATATTACAGATCCTAATTTGAACACTATGTGTGAATGTTATAATACATGTATTAAAACAGAGCTGTTGTAATGATCATTATCATTATTATTATTGTCTTACTCTTTATTTTATTTTACAGAACAACAGTAACACCATTTCAAGCATTTTATCTGCGTTATATGTTCTGTAAAAAAAAATGTTCATATCGGCGGCATATTCGCCGATACTGATATATCGGCGACAGGCTCATATCGGCTGATAATATCGGCAAAACGATATATCGGTCAGGCTCTAGTAGAGTTTCTCAACCTTTTTGACTTTGAGGCCCCCCTTTTTCCAACACTTCTTTCAAAGGGCCTTCTTTCAAATATTTCCTCCAGTATTTCTGCTAGAATTATGCTGGATAATCCTATTATGACAAAGCTGCTTGTTTTTTTTTGTGTTAAATTAGTATTATTATAAAAAAAAAAAAAAAAGGGAAATGAACAGACGTCATAGACAATAAAATAAATAGGATGTATAGATTATTTTAATTAATTAATAACAATATGAAAATGAATTGAATTAATAATATACTTATTTTTAAATCATCCTGCGGCCGTCTAATTGAGGGCCGCTGCTCTGTACTGTTTTGGTGAATCGGTGGCCCTTCAGTTCCGAAAACTGACTGACATCCTAGTCTAAGCTGTCCTGTCACATCTATTGTCTGTGGTCTCAGTCAGGGGATTTTTGCAGACAAGCAAAGTCCTGAATTCACTAGCATTGCAGTGTGGGTGGATTCCAGATAACAGAGCCTAACCGAGAGATCTGGATCTGTTATTGGACTGGACTTGTTGTCAGATTGGACATCACTCTAATAATTTCTGTAGGGAGGCTGAACAGTGCTAGACGTGAATGATAGCCATATAGACACTTTAGTTCTCTGCACTTAAAATATGACAGACAGTGCTGTGACACCTCAAACAGTGCA